TCGTTCCGTAAAGATCGTTAGTGGAAAAGTGATATCTCTATACTAGAAAACTGAGCGATAGTTTTATTGGGAAAGTTAGTTGATGCGCTCGATAGTTTTAATGTCAACGACGAGCACGGGAGTAATGGAAAACCGAACAACAACCGGTTGAACCGATCGGCGACGATAATCGACGAAAATCAGTTGTCCCTTCGCGAAATGTTTCGACGAAACCGATAGACGACGTCGCCCCGACGCGACGGCGAGCGTCTCTATTTCGAGTGAGCCGTGGATCGAGACGGGTAAATATTTCAGCGGGCCGATCGCGGGGAGCTGTTATTTCAATAACGTTATCGCAGACAATCCGTCCGATGAGATTCGCGTGTTCCGCGACGGTTCGCATCAACGGGCCGCATCTATCTTTGATACGGTTCCGTGCTTGGTAAATTATCTACGAGGACCGAGTGTATCGAGCCGAGGGCCCCGCTGAGACTCATCGGCCCGGCTTTATTTAGCCCCGGCCAATTCACACCAAAGATGAATCTGCTGAACGCGGCCGCCATCAAGCATCCGCGGCGGACAGCTACGCGCCGTAAAATCCATACATTCCGACGTCACGAATAGACATATATCAATCCGTACTAGACGCGTATCGGTCCGCTCGGAAAAAGGTTCATCGCGCATCGCTGTGCCCGTGGGTTCGCAGGGCGCAACGCTGCGCGACCAGCTAGGCAGACGGACGGACAGGCGGACGGGTTGACTTCGGACGAGCACGATTCGCCCGGTTTTTTCCTTTCGCCTCTCGTTTCCAGAGGATTTTCCGACGACGCGAGAAGAGAGTTTCCTGCCCGGATCCTCTTCCATTGCTCACTCAAGGGTACACAGGGGAGGACAAAACCGAACGATAACAGAGTAATTCGAGGTGAGATGCCGCGATCGTGTTTAAAGTATCAGATATCTAGATTTTTAATTGTTTTCAGGTAATAGGTCATTCAGTAGTTTTTTGTTTGTTTTCTTTTTTAACCGCTCGAGCGGCAGTCAGCGCGATCGCGCTTCTTCGGTACGCCGCCTAAAAGTGGCAGCATATCGGTTCGTAGATTTAGATGAAGTTCATTTATTCGTCTTCCTTGTAATTATTTATTTTTCTTATCGTCTGCTTAGAAATGGAAATATAGAACGCTCGCGCCATTTGGAATTTCTTTATGTGAGAACAGAGAACAAGACTCGTGGCACTCAAACGGTTAAGTTTATAAAGTGCTGACACAACTCAGTGGAAAATGAAGACAATATACCTATTTCAGACTTCCCGCGTCCATTCCCGAAACTTGTTCAGCAATTAGCGTATACTGGACCTCGCACGGAAGCCTATTTAACCGTTCTTCGTATATGAAATATAGTTTCGTAAGTATAGGTTGCTTCGTTGGGTATCAACGATATCTATAATGTAACAGTCCTTTCAAAAGGAGCGAACTTCTGAGTTACCCGATGTCTCGTAGATAAGAAGCTCGTATCGAGCTAGTGTCGCATGACACAGACCCGACGAGTCTTCGGCGTGGTCTGCGATAGGCCGCAGATCGGTGAACAAGTGTTATCCACGAAAAACATTCGTGTTCCGTTTTAGCGATCCGTTCCGTTTTACCCTACTCTCCGGCGGCCGGCAGGACGCGCGCAGGATGCTCCCTATCTCGAAAAGAAAGTTCGTTTTACGAGTTCACCGCAATTACCGCGGAGCACCGGCCGATTCGTCGTGGATAGAAATTTATAGTTATCGTTATCGGATTCGCGTTACGCGAAGCTTAATTACTCTCGGATCGTGCTTTCAATGGGCGGCCGGCGTACTCACGAACAATTAACTAATTTTTGCGTAATTGCGCCTTGCCAGCGGCGGCGCGCGCTCGTATCGGTACGGCACGGCACGGCACGGCACGGCACGGTGAAGCGGTGTGAAGCGGCGTGAAGCGGCGCGCGGCGCAGCTTCGGAGGCTATCTCTCATTTCCCGCGAAGCAATTACGGTGAAACCATGATGATTATTTCGAGGCTTTCGCTCGACGAACGATCGATCCTCGAAACAGTCATTAACCGATTGGAAGCGTACGTGCCCGCCACGGGAGCCGGGAAGCAAAGGGTTGCAGTTATTTGTAACAAAATTAAATTGATCCCTGCGAGGCGAGGGATCGACGCGTCACGGGTCGGCTCTCGTCGCCTGCGCCTGTAACAGTGACGGGTCACGAAACTTCGCGTCGCCTCGGATACGTGAGCTAAGTGAAACGTTCGGGTAGGATTCGATGACATCTGACTCTGCGATGCGTTTGAAAACTCTCGTGAACCGCGGGAAACCGTTTAAACAATAGCAGCGGTAATTCGGCAGCAATGATCCTTCGTTTCCTGCAACCTGACTACGAAGGAAACAAGAGAAAGAGGTAAAGGAAAGTGGAGAAGAGAGAAGAACGTTGTCAAAATCTAGGAGTGTTGAAAGCGTTGACCCGCAGTCGATAACGATACGAACATATTTGTGAAAGTCGTGAAACACTGAAAAGTTAGTGAGAAATAGAATCCTGTTTGAAACAATTCGAATTTGGAATTTTGAAAATATAGAACAGCTTCGAAACTGTGATTCGAATGATCATTGGCTACTGTAGACTCGGGATCGCGAGTGAAGAAGCGAACAAACGATCGATCGACCAAGCAAAGGACAAAGAAGTTCGAAGGAAGTCCCTTCGAGCAAACGGGAAAAAAGAAGAAAAAGAGAAGAGAGTAGAAGAAGAAGAAGAAGAAAAAGAAAAGGAGAAGGAAATTAAACCCTTCGGTCCCGCGAGATCCTTTAAGGTGGCCGATCCGCGTAATAGAGAAATGATTTGATTAAAATGTAAAGGAGGTCCGGACCTTCTGTTTGCGCATTTCACGGTTCGCCTGTAAAAAGCACGGGGCTCTACCCGTTAGACAGATGGCAGTCGCCGCACTCAATGGCCTGAGAAATTGGATCGCGTTTTAACTCCCTTACGTTTTCAGCTCCGCGCTGCAGATACCGAGTCGCTGCAACCGGCAACCGTCCGAGAACCTTCTACGTGCCTACCAGCCGATCCTAATACCGTAACAAACGTCGGGAACGTCGGAAACATCGGAAACACGGAAGGAGAAGGGAGTCGCCGCGAGTGGCCGCCATCTCGCTTGCCCTTTTCGCTTGCCTCGCGAGTAATCGTCGTCGAGCTGTAACGTGGTCGTAAATTAAACTTTTAACGTAGAATTATAAAGTTCGTGGAACCTGCGCCAAGTAGAAACCGACGCTTGTAGAACCTAAACTGAACCAGCTTGAATCTAGAGGTCTTACAGAACCTAAAACTTCGAACCGCGTAAAAGCTACCGATCGCGATTCCAACTGCTAAACAAGCCACATATCCGTCTCGATATCTTATCGGCGGCTACGCAAATTTGTCTCGTTCGCCGGCGACCGATAAGGGAACGAATTCGAACGCAGCATCGAGGAACGGCCGTCAGTTGGACAAATTGCTGACAGAGACAAGCCGCGGAAGCACGCGACTGGCTAGCAACGAGAGGCGAGCACGCACACCCTAATTACACGCAAAGCGATCGAAAGCAATCTCCTTTGCGACGCCGGCCGTAGCTGTCCCCGGGGAATCGGTGGCTTTTACCGAGGAAACGTTTCGCGAGTTTACTCGTGCGCGCTCGAACCCGCAGCTTGCTCGCCAGAAGGGAATAATCGATATCCCGGAATCTTCGCCGGAGCGTTTCGACGTATCAAACGTATCGGAGCGGTCGCCGTTGCGGTCGGTTGCGGTCCGACTCGTCTCGACTAAACGGCGAATCGAAACGATGAATCGATACGACACCGGTTAAGCAACGCAACGCTCGTCGACGAGACGAGAACGGTTCGCGTGAAGGTCGCGAATCCTCGATTCTCGTCGAGTCCGACGGGCGTGATGCCCGCGGAACTCCAACGGGCAACGATCGACCTGGAGATTCCTCTCTGGAAGAATCACGACATTCAATTTCGTAAACGTTACTCGAGAACACTTCCTCCCTATTCTGATTCGTACAGTCACCTACCCTGATTCTCTATTCCCGAAACCTGAATCTTCAAAATCTACGCAAAGAAACAACCGTCCTCGGTAACGCTGGAACAAGGTGCGCAATAAACGTCCATAAATCCAGCGTCAACAACGATACCGGTAACCTTCGGCCAAACGATCCCACGTCGGTCGAAAGCCCGGTCGTATTGGTTCGTCGTCGAGTTCGCCGGTTTAACCCCGATTGCGCGCGGATACGGATACGGATGCGGATACGGATGATCTAAATAGTAGCTGCTTGTATTCCGCTCTAATCGAATGGAAACGCCTGCTGGTCTCTCTCTCTCTCTCTCCCTCTTTCTCTTTTTCTCTGTCTCTCTCTCCCCCTTTCCCCCTTGCTCTCTCACCCTTCCTCCCCTATCTCGCTCCCCTATCTTTTTGTGAAAAGTAAACCCGGGGAAAAGATGGGCATGGGCGTGAAAGGAAAGAAGACGCGGGGAACGAGGAGGTGGGGTGGGGCAGGGAGGAGGGAAAGGCGACCGGGGAAGAACACGAGCAGCGTGGGTGGACAATCCGAGTCCTCGGGAGCAGAAGGTGATACGGAGGCACGGTCGAACGATCGTGCTCGGGGACGGGTAGGGATGAACGGGACTTCTGGTGGGAGCGCGGATCCATCCAGAGCGGGGATGAATATCGCACGGTGGGGATGCCGATCAACACCGAGACGACAGGGGCGACAGGGGTGACGGGGATGACC